GCCCGTCCAGGGGCCAACCCTGCAACCACAGTTCACTGGCAGCTGGCCTAGAGGGGCAGATGCCTCTACTGCCTGTGCAGTCCCCATCCGGGTCTGGCAGGTGCACAGCAGGTCACATCCAGGCAGCAGCCCAGACTGTTGCAGTGAGTAGAGGGTGCAGGGTACTCTCAGGGCTGCTTCAGCAGTCCAGCTGGCACAAGGGGCAGTGTCCCCAGTTACCAGTTGGCTGGGCCCCAGAAGCTCCTGAGAGCGAATAGCTCTGAGCTACTTGCCAAGACGGCTTTTTATACTGCCTGGGCCAGGACACAGCAGCTTTTTATACTGCTGGGGACAGCACAGGTGCTGGCCCCGGACTGTAGCTCCCCCAGGCTGAGGATTCAGGAGGAGCCAGGCAGGGTTATTTTGCCCCAAGTGGCACAATTTGCTCCACACCAAAGTGCATGTCCGAGCACATGCGCTGAAGCAAAAAGCCCCAGCTCAAACTTGCACCACTTCTATTTGAGCTGCTGCAAGCACACATGCTTGCATGTGTGGATGCGCCCTGAGAGGGAACTTAATGATTTTCAAATATCTGATGAATAGTTATAAAGGGGATGGTGATAGATACCTCCGCAGCCACAGATTTAGGGAGGATATTAAAGACATCTTGCTAACTTTGAGGCCATGTAATTTCCATTTTTCAAAGGTTTGTTTTGTTTGTTTTGTTTGTTTTAAATGCAGGTTGGGCAAGCACTTTTTTAGAAAGGGTTGATCCTGCCTTGAGTAGGGCGTTGAATGAGGTGATGCCTTGAAGCCCCTTAGGATTCAAAAGTTATGTCTGAACTTTTTTTCTACAGGGAAAAATAATCTTTTAAAAATGTTTTGGAAAAGCTCAGAGTGAAAACTAGTTCCAAAGTACTGCAATTTCCAATAACCTATAGATTTCTTTTTACATCTTGATGCATTCAAATGTGTATTGATGCCTGAAGGAAGAGGCCTAGAGTTCTGAGAGATGGGGTCTTCCATGGAGCTGAAGGGAAAGTTTGTTGTTTTTGGTTTTTTTTCATTGATTTCTGGGGACAAGTCTGCTGTCAGTTTGTGTAAAAATCCAAGCCATTCTCACATGTAAACCATGTTTCCCTAGTTGCACTTGCTAGACAGGGAAGATCTATAGCCACTTTATTATTTTCCCCCTTCATTGGTTTCAGGTGGGTGTACACTGATTGTGAAAAGCAAAAAGAGAACTGGTCACATAAAGGATGCAGGATCAGGGTCCTAAATATTACCGTTTGGATTCCTAAGACTTTATTTCATATTTTATAAAGCATTTGTCCCTCTTGCTGAGTAATGGAATCTGAGTGAAAATGATAAAGTGATGTCTGGAGAAGTATAACACTTTCTCATTTCATTATTACCGCTTTGAGGTTAGGCTTTTGGTTCTGTTAACGTGATTGGTTTATTTCTGGTTTTCCTTCTGAGTAATTAAAAATTCCCATCAGCATGTTTCCCCTTCACATGGAGGAATATGTATTGAATCAGGAACAACAATTACTCTCATTTACTCCACACCAGGGACAATGGTCAGGTCAAAAGAACTGGGGAATCTTGGCTGCCTCTTTATTAGTAGAAGAAAAATAGATTGAAAGGATGAGAAGTGAATAGTATCCTGGTACAGACCCCAGTCTTGGTGATGCTCCATGAAGAGGTGACCTCCTGGATTCCTGGTCCGAAGAGACTCCCCTTTGCGGTAAGCCAGCTATTGGTATTCTTTTTTTTTTATAAAGAAAAGGGACAAATTGCTCATCTTGACTTAGTAATTAGATGGTATGAGCCTTTCTAGGCATTGAGAGGAGAAACATTTTGGAGCCTTTTATTCTGTGTATTTTCAATGCCTAGTACAACAGAGTCCCAACTGTGGACAAATCCTTCTCAACAGCCCTGTAAAGCCAGCCAAAACAATAATGGCAGTGGCAATGAGTTGAAATTTCATAGACATCAGGGCTGGAAGGGACCTCGGAAGATCACCGAGTCCAGCCCCCTGCCCAAAGGGCAGGAAGTCAGCTGGGGTCATAGGATCCCAGCAAGATAAGCATTCAAAATGTGGATATGTGTAGTGCCTCGATAAAGAAAAGGACTTCAAAAATTTTAAATGTTATTACTATTAGTCAAAAAGGAAAATTTCATCAACTACTCCTATTATCATGAAGACATTTGAAATGTCAAACCTATTTCCACTGCAGTGTTTTATACAGAGAAATAAAAATTGCATTTTTTTCCTGAACTATATATTTTTTGTTATTTCTTTTTAACAATACAGTGAAGTGTAAAAAAGAGAGAGACAATGTGAAAGAGAATGAGCGTGAGTGTTTTAGATAGAAAAAATAGAAATGATGTGTTCCAAGTTGCGTCAAAAAGCCATTTTGCCTATCCCTTTCCTCTGAGGCAGGACCAATATACCTGGATTGTCCCTGACAAACTTGTATTCACTTTTTTTCTTTAAAACCCCCAGCGAAAGGGGTGCCAAGAGCTCCCTAGGTAAATTATTCCTCTGCTCTTCTTAGACGGTTTGTCCTGACATCTAAGCTACAGCTTCTTTAATACAATTAGTCAATTAGTATTTTTTGACCTATTGGTAGTGGACACAGTGAACAACTGAACACTTATGTTTCTACCAAATATTTACTTACTGGAAATTTGTTAGTAAATCCCCCCACCCCCGTCCTTCTCTTTTCTAGAGAAGTTAACCACAGCTCCTTGAAATTTTCCCCTTAGGTCATTGTTTCCCAAACTTTTAATATTATTGCTGCCTTCTAGACTCTCTCAACTTTGTCTGTGTATTTCTTAAACTATGTTGTCCAAAACTGGACACAGCACTTTATCTAACAGAGTACGATGATTATCTCCTGTATCTTAATGCACCACTTTGGCCACTCCTGTTAATGAATTCCAGAATGACTTTTTTTGCAACAAGATCACTTTGATTCTTGCATCCTTTGTTTCACTATAAGCTTTGTATACTTTTCTGGTTTCTGCTGTTGTTCCTTTTCTATTGTTTTTTTTTTTTTTTTAATGCAACACAAAAATTAGAAATATGTAGGTGTGAAATATATATGGTAAGGTGTGAAGTCTTTCAATAAGAGTAATAAAGGAAATGGCAATCAAATAGTATATACATAAGTAAGAAACAACAAGCAATAAAGAGGAAAGGAAAGAAAAAGGAGGAGGGAAGAGAAGGGGACAGGAGAAAAAGAGAGAAGTGTGCCAGAGCTAAAAATTTAGTTACCATATTCTACAAAAACCTCTTTCCAAATTTTTTGAAGCAGTCAAACCTG